AACCTATAGAGGGTCATTATAAAAGAAGCCATGACTCGATGTGGGCAGGACATCTAGGCTAGCAACACGCGAAACTACTTGAGATGACATACTATTAGCGACAATCATGAGACGATGTGGAGATTTATGTGCGAACTTGCTTGGTGTGTCAACAAGACAAGCCAAACAACCAATTGCCTGGAGGCTTGTTATAACCCTTACCTATTGAGGAGTGTTTATGGGAAACAATGACCATGAACTTTATCGTTAGCGATAGAGACCCTCGGTTAACTAAAAAGCTGTGGACAAAGATGTTCAAAATGTTAGGATGTAATTTGCACTCGACTAGGTTTCATCTGCAGAATTGGCCAAGAGCCAATGCCTTGTTGGAGTTGTATTTGAGGCACTTTGTGAATGTTGACCAATGAGATTGAGCTATATTGCTTGATATCACCAATTCTCATACAACTTGCTTAAAAGCAAGTCAACCAGTTAGAGTCCATTGGAAGTGACAGGTCAATGACCACTTACTCCTCACACTATAGTTTTTGGCGACAAGTACGAATGAAATTTTTTTTCAGCATACTCGTTGACCAAGGGTTGGATAGAACAAACAGACTTGACGAGGATGTATATGGAGGATAAGCCTGCTAAGAAGTGAAGAAGTGAGCGATTAAAAGGCAATAGGATGTGAACTTCCTATCGGGTAAAAAGTGATGATCAAGCTGCTACCACAATAACACAAGATCTTCAGGAAGGTACACAAACTGTTGATAAGAAAATATCAATGCTTGTTTGAAGTGGTGCAGAAGGCTAGAGAAGTGGCCTATCGGCTTGAGTTACCACCAAAATTGAAGATCCATCCCTGTTCCACGTGAGTATGCTTAAGTCTTATCATGAATAGCTGGAAGGTCGAAGTTGAGGTTGGTCATCAAGTGCAGCTACGTCAGTGGTTGACTGATACAACAAGGACGTCAAAGAGATACTTGACAATCGTATTGTTCAAAAATGCAGAGTGCCATAGAAGAAGAAATACTTGGTGAAATGGAAGGTATTACGTGAAAGTAAGGCTAGCTGGGAGCCCACTGACATGAATGATAGTTCATGAAAAGGATCGGAGAGTATCATGAAGAGCCGATGAAGGCATCACCGAATTAGGTGGGGAGAATGTTACACCTTGCCTCAAAGAACATGACTTTTGCCATGTAGAGGCGGTGCACTAATTCTACAAATTTTTATAATAATCTAGAGTGTTCTAGAAGTGTCTAGAATGTGAAGTGCTCGGCTGTGGAGCTCATCATCTATATCTTTTTTCTTTAAATGAAGAGTGCAAATTTTATATATTTTTTATCCAAATAACCATTCTCAACTGATCACTATGCTTTCGGTCTAGAATGTGAAGTGTTGGGGTGTGGAGCCCATCATCTATATCTTTTTTCTTTAAATGAAGAGTGTAATTTTTATATTGTTTTATCCAAATAATCATTTTCAACTGATCACTATGCTTTCGTCCCTAATCATTAGGTATCACAGCTGAAGAGATCCACCATTTCAGCTTCAACCTCTGCAATACAACAACTCAAAATCCATCAACGATATCTAACTTTAAACTCGAGGTTGAGTTTTCTTTGGGGAGGAAAGATTTGATGCAGGATAGATCCTGTAGAAGATCTGATGAAGATTTCACTTAGGACTAAGACTGGACTAAGACATGAATCACCTAGAAAATGCTTCTTCAATATACGAATTTAATCATCACCTTTCTCGAGCTTAGCAAGCTTCTTTCTTATTGGCATGCTTAACACAATTCATTCTTTTTATGGGAACTCTCTCATATATTTCCTTATGGAGTTCCTTGACGGTCTTAGCTTGTTCTTTAGCATCTCCACTTAATGGAGTATAGCAGCCAGTGGAATATGATTTAAAAGGACTTAAAGGATATCGACTATACACAAATTCAAAAGGACATCTCCTAGTAGCAAAGTAGCTTGACTTGTTGAGTTATTTCAAGCAGACTCTATTTGCTCATATCAATGCATTGATTAATATATTTATCGATACAATACCAACAGAATTCCAAAGGCTTCCAATTACAATATCCTTCTGAGCACTTGTTTGAAGATGTATTGTTGAACTAAGTGGATGCTAAGTTCCCATTTTATTCACAGAGTACACTAAAAGAGACAAGTGAAACTCCAAATCCTCATCAATGTGATAGGTTTTAGAGCCATGCAAATTTACGAACCTTTGAAAATGAAGTTTAACTACATAAATTGCATCATATTTAGTGCAACTAGGTACAAAAAAAATCCAATCTCCAAAAAACTTGTTAATAAATACCAAGACTAAATCTTAATTTTGTTTAGGGAAGAACCAAATCCATGCAAAAATCCTTATATGAAGAATAGGGCACCAGATTTGGGTGAGTATGGCACTATGGCCCTATTCCTTTTCACAACCTAGCTTTTTTATGTGGAAAGTCTAACGATGTTTTACAGAGCATATAACGTGTCTTTCTAATATTATGAGTTAGTCACTACATTTAGTAGTATATATAATATTATATATATTACTATGCAATCCTCAATCTGGCTCTTATGACTTGGATGGTTAGTATTGTTTACATTATAGTCATGTAATGCTATGTAAGTGGATTATGTGTTAGCTTTGAAATAATAATAATGGTAATATAAAAATACATAGATGAAATCCACCTTTGCACTAGCCAATAAAAAAGATAGAAGTGGTAAGGATGAACTAAGACGGTGAAAGATGACACTAGAGGGTACACGTCATTTTTATGAGAGCTTAGTGAATGCCAACTTTGGCAAGCCAGCATGGTAAACCAACTATAAATAGCCACAGAGAGTAGTATGATAGTATTTGAACTAAGATATCTAGCTAAAAGTGAGTGGAAAGAAGAATAATGATTGGTCAAGACTTAAGAAGCATATGAGATGTAGAGTTTGCTTAATGTGTCAAGCTTTCTAAATTGCTGACTGAACCAAGAGATAGTGCTCCCTAAGATCCACAGGGAAAAGAAAAAGAGAGTGAGATTACCATCTATTCTATTAACTTTTTAGTTATATTATTACATGTATATCATTTATTTTCTAGAAATGATTATTCTTATAATTTTTTTTGAGAAATATAAACAAAAATTCGTTTAAATCATTTTGACAGTGTCATTTTGCCTTTATTATTTATAGAGTGCATATTTAACAGTGTCATTTTGCCTTTATTATTTATAGAGTGCTTATTGATCAAAGACTGTTACAATCGTTTCACTATTTAAGTTTGCTTGTCCATGCATACTATATACAACCTCACGACCATAAATATTGATTGGTAACACTGAAAAGGAACCGTCAGTATTGTTTGGGTATATTGATTGATTGGCACATATCCGGATTATGCGTGGACTAAGCCTTCAAATCTTTATTATTATTGTTATTGTTTTATTGTGGATGGGAAATAAGGGGCTATCTACAGGTAAAAAGGTCATTGAGGAAGTCGCATCTCATGCATTATCAATGGTTCTTTTGTTTTTATTTAATTGTAAATTTCTTTGATTACTAGATCGTCATGACTTTAATATACAATAAATACATTGTAATCTCACTGTGCTAGCATAGCCCATCCTTTTATTAACCCATCTTTTTTAGATCAAGAGTAAGCATAGATTGCACATCGCTGCAGAATGCGAAGAATAAGAAAAGATAAAGGGTGTGTTGGGTATGTACTTTGTAAAATGAGCTTGGGGAAAATAGTTTGTTAATGTAATACACATATGTGACATAGTAGTGAAAAGAGTTTGTGATTTTTGACTCGCACTCTGGATTAGATCCTATAAAATAAGTCTAAATTGGGGTGTGACTAGTTCCCTAATTAGTTAGGCCGTATATGATGTTGATAATTCCTTATTTTGCTCTGTATGTCTACCAGAAATGTAAGCATATTTCTGATTAGCTTACTATTTGATCTTTCTTCATTCAGCTTTCCAAAGTAAAACTCTATTTATATTGAAATTTCTTTGTCAATAAATATATGGCTATTATAAATTGCTTGTTTATGGTTGTAGCAAAAACTTGTTTTTTTAATGAATAAATTTTTTTGGAGACGTATTCTATTGTACTATTTCTCTGTCTCTAGTCTCTCCTTGTTCATGAAGGGATGGGGGTTCTGTGGAATAGTGAGGTATTTCATATATTTCGAATAGCTGAGCAAGGTTGTTATTTTAGTTGTCCTTGGTTTTAACTAGTCTGCCTTTTGTGTCTTTCCTCGAGCTAGAGCCAGTGACTTCAGATGCCCCATCTGAATGCTTGCATTGCATCAAATTTGTACCTCATACCATTGTTCATGCTATGGCAGATGCACCAATTGTTTAGAACCTGATATTCTTTTTCAAAATAAATTAGTGAATTCATTGCCCATGTCATTTTTATATCAGAAGTGACAATGCCATTTTACTTCTCATGGCAGGTTAGACCGTTATTCATGTCATATTTAATTACGCTTAAAGTTAATCCTGGTGGAAACTTTTGTAACTTCTATATCTTCTGCTTCTTTTATAGTGCCGCTAGTAGATATTAAGTCCTTATATAATGTGAAATTACTTGTAATGTGGCAGCCTTTCACCATCAATAAAATTAAAACTGGAGTTTCTTTTTAGGATTTTAATATATCTTTATTTTATCTTTAGAGATTTTCTTTAGCTTTCCAGCTCTAACTACAGATGTTCATGATGATAAATTAATAATATGTTGTCTTCTGGAAGAAATTATTTCTCACATGTTTTTTTAATTTTATGCTTCAACCATATCTTATACTATCTTTTACACAGAAAGCGAAGCTTTCCATGTAACGTATTTAGCTTTTCATATGTATCCCAAATCCCACCTCCAGTTACCACCCTGTCCATACCCATTTTCTCAAGATCCTTCTCATTCCACTATTTTCTAATTTTTATTGCTTGATACTCGTGGAAATTTTAGCAACACTATTCTCTTTTATATACACAGAACTGATGGAATAGGTCTTTCAGCACCCCAAGTTGGAATAAATGTTCAGCTTATGGTATTTAATGCTGCTGGTGAACGTGGTGAAGGAGAGGAAATCGTCCTGGTAAACCCAGTAATTTACAAAGCTTCAAAAAAGACTACACTTTACAATGAGGGCTGCTTGTCATTTCCAGGAATCCTTGCAGATGTACAGGTGAAAATCTTCTTACTAGTTGCTTTATCTGTGTTTAAATTGTTCTGAAAGCAGCCATGCATTAATCTGAGACGATGTAATAAACTAGTACTAAATCATGAATTCCAAGAATAAATTCCTTCTGATTAAATACTCAACAGCCCTGCTGAGTGTGAGGTGTCCGCTCTCTGGATGCCTGTACCCTCCTATTGGACTGTACTCTTCCCACATCTTTTGCTTCCTGAATAGCTAAGTAACAGGGCACTACTCTTCCCACATCTTTTGTTTTCTGAATGGCTAAGCAAAAGGGCACGGACACGAGTACGACACAGACTTAAGACATTGATGCAAGGCATCACACGTCTTCAAAGGTAGGACACAACGACATGTCAACATGACATTAGAGTACACACGCATACGTATATTTCATATGTTTACATATATATATGGATGCATATGTATCTATATAATGAGTTTTGCATATTGGCTCGCGGGCCCGCCGCGAGCCAACTCCGCGTGAGGAGGGGGCTTGCCTACCCTCCTTCACGCGAGTTGGCTCGCGACGGCCCCCGCGAGCAAAAAGCATTTTCGCTATATAATATAAGTATGCGTATGTACTCTCTCTCTCTCTCTCTCTCATATATATAATATAATATATATTATATAATATTAATATATATATGAGTATGCTTGGTATCAAACACAAAAAGTTATGCGGTGACATAATCCCCCCACTCATTCAAATGGTTGCATATTCTCATGTACTCCTCAACCCATGTGAATGTGGTCCCCTATTTGAATGAGCGGAGGGGATTTTGCCACCTCACTACCAAGCATAAAATTTGTGTTTGGTACCAAACATACCTATATTTCTCATATGAGAAAAATGAGTATGCTTGATACCAAGCACAAAAAGTTATGCTTGATAGTGAGGTGATATAATCCCCTCCACTCATTCAAATGGTTGCATATCCCCATGTACTCATCAACCCATGTGAATATGGTTTCTCGTTTAAATAAGTGGAGGAGATTGTGCCACCTCACTACCAAGCATAAAATTTATGCTTGGTACCAAGCATACCCATATTTCTCATATGAGAAAAACAAGTATGTTTGGTATCAAGCACAAAAAGTTATGCTTGGTAGTGAGGTGACATAATCCCCTCCACTCATTCAAATGGTTGCATATCCCTATGTATTCCTCAATCCATGTGAATGTGATCCTCTATTTGAATGAGTGGAGAGGATTGTGTCACCTCACTACCAAGCACAAAATTTGTGCTTGGTATTAAGCATACCCATATTTCTCTCTCTCTATATATTTATATATAGGACTGGTAGCTCAGGAAAAATCCTAAGCAGCTGCCACATGTTGCTTTCCGGTTGGTTGGATAGATAAATTGTTTAAAAGGAGATATTTAGAGATGATTGCATTTGACATTTAATAATAAAAATAGAAAAGGTGCTATACATAAATGTTCCATTAAGTTCCCCAATGGTACCAAGCAAAAAAAGTTATGTTTGGTAATGAGGTGACATAATCCCCTCTACTCATTCAAATAGTTGCATATCTCCATGCACTCCTCAACTCATGTGAATATGATCTTCCATTTGAATGAGTGGAGGGGATTGTGTCACCTCACTACCAAGCACAAAATTTGTGCTTGGTAATAAGCATACCCATATTTTTCTTTCTCTATATATATATGTAGGATTGACAGCTCAAGAAAAAATTCTAAGCAGCTGCCACATGTTGCTTTCCGGTTAGTTGGATAGATAAATTATTTAAAAGGAGATATTTAGAGCTGATTGCATTTGACATTTAATAATAAAAATAGAAAAGGTGCTATATATAAATGTTCCATTAAGTTCCCCAATTTTCTGCAATTTCTGATGCCCACAATCTAGTTTACATTCTCTCTTCTGATCTCTATTAGTGAGACCCATAAGAGAATGTCATCGTTCTATGAATTTAAACTTAGAGATTTACGTGTTTTTCAGTTGATTCAGATCATTGTATTTTAATCATATTGATCATGCTTTTACTTTATTTATGAAGTGCTCTTCTGTTTAGAAGGAGCAAAAACATTGGAAAGTTCTATGGCTGCATACATTCCATGGTTACATACACTTTAACAATCTCTGAGTTAAAAAGTTCACCAAATGATAGTTAAATTAGCAAAATGGTGTCAAAGTTAATCAATCAAAGAACCCCGAATGAACCCAAAAGAAGTTCCATCAAAAGAGGCTGAACACATCAATACAATTAGGGTGCATGACAGGACTCCATGGCTGAACTCCAAAAACAAGGGAGTTGTCTTGTATTCGCAACAGAAAAGCGTGAATTTTCTTCAAAATTTAATCTCTTTCATAGAAACAGATTTTATTTTGTTGTAGATTACCAAAACTAATTTGCTTTGTTTTTGTGCTAGGTTTTTTGGGGAAATGAATAAAAAGAGTTCTGAGAAATTTGGTAGAGGATAAAATGAACTCAAAGCTTGGGAGAGTGGGTTTTTGTGTTTCAAACCGCGAAGAAGATGGAGAGGAGGCTGGGATTAAGAATGTATATTTTTCATATAAACCTATTACTTTTCACTTTTAACATGCTCATCACTAATTGTTTCTATCTTATAAAAATGCTTCCTTATACACATCCAACCAATTGGAGAGCGACACGGGGCAGCTGCACAGGATTTGTTCCGAGCTGCTAGCTATCCCGTTTTCTTGTATATAATATATCTCATATATAATATATATACACACACACACATACATAAGTTGTAGAAAAATAGGAAAAAAATTGTTCTTCCATCTATACCCAGTCTCTCTTAAATAGAGATTAGGAAGGTTATATAAGCAGGCATGGATAGCGGCCTAATTACCCAAATAACTAAACATATAATAACATCTAACACTCCCCCTCAAGCAGGAGAATATATATCAAAGATTCTATCTTGTAATGCATAAGAGCAAAATACCTAGATGAAGAAACTTTGAGGAAGCTATTAGCAAAAGTGTATCAACCGGAAAGTGTAGTCTCCACTAGAGATAACTCGAGCACATGACGAGCCAGAATAAAGTCATATATCACAAGTATATCCTCCCTTCTGTGATCATTACAACCATAGTAGTAGTAGTTGACCAGACTAATAGTAGGGGACCCTTGACATAGGAATCAAGTCTTATAAACCCATATTGAGGCTAGAAAAAATCTTGGATGAGTTACCTAGTAAAAGCCTTAGGTGAGTTAGCCAGTAGAAACCTTAGACGTGTTAGCCTATACAAGCCCTAGGCGGGTCATTCAATAGAAACTTTAGGCAGATCAGCCATGAAAGTGTAGTTATATCCAGAGATCACATAACTTCTCGTATTTGTGAATTTAGCGTTGAGCGTCGAAGACAAAGTCATCAAGTAAAGAATTAGGCAACGAAGCAAGCATCGGTGATTGAGAAGAGGAAGTTATGGCAAACAATGAGGAGGTGGCATGGTGCATAATGAACAATAATAAGATATTGTTCAAGAGGTGAACAATACACCGGCTAGGGTTTTGTTGAAGTTAGGGTTTTTGATGAAGAGTTTGAAGGTTATGGTTTGGAGGAAGATTTGGAACTGGCAAAAGTTATCAAAGCCAAAAAAGGCAAAGATGCGGTCAAAACCGCCAAGGAGAACAGCCGTCGAGGGGAGCATGAAAGCTATGCAAAATCCCCTCGACAGCCTTGAGATCTAGAAAGATGTGAGAAGTTCTCTAGGATCAAGTAGGCTTTGATGCCATGTAGAAAAATAGAAAAGATAGTTCTTATTATAGTTAATCCTAACGAGCATTATATACGTGCTCGCATAAGTGGGTCTCATTTCTTTAATTGATATATTAGAGTACTTCTTGAAATACCCTTAAGGAGGGGGGAGGGGGTGAATAGGGTTATGAGGCAATAATTGTGCAATTAAAAAATGTACACAAAATTTAAAATCTAAAACAATATAAAGGAGATAAGTTAGGGAATAGTTAGCCAATTGTAACACGCGATATGTTCACGAGGTTTGATCCTTTGACCTACGTCCCCGCTCCCCACTTTCGAGGAAAATTTCACTATCACAACCCGGTTTGGAAGCTGGAATTTTTTCACAATAATCTCCTCTTGAGATCTCATAACCACACAGTAGATCTTCACAAGATCAAGCTCTCCACACGTTACAAATGAAAGAAAATAAGCTCTCTTAAAACAGCCCTATGGCAAGATGAAGAGATTGCAATTGAAGCTTGGGATTTGCAAGTGTGAGAACAAAATGAGAGAATTGAAAGTTGAAGCTCTTTTAAACACCAAAACACAAACTCAATAAATTCTCGAAAGAGTGAATTAATAAGTTCTATTATGCTATTGTATTTTGTGTAAGAAAAGAGTGAATTTCACAAAAACCTCTTTAAATTTGGTTTTTTTTTCCAATTAAACCACTTTAACTATTTCAAATTCACAAACCCCCCCTTAACTTTGAGGGGTTTTGCATGTAACCCCTCTGTGAAGTTCTTTAATTCAATTACACTTGAAGAATTTTCACTTTAACCCCTAATGTATCACCATAAAGTCCAATGTATTTAAGTGCCAAGCATGTGAATAAAAAAAAGGCGAAATACCCCTCGAGGCGGAGGGGTATATTCATCTTTCTAGTCACATATTTGGCATTTAACATGTTAAACTTGATGGTGTTCTTTTAGGGGAACAAGAGAAAAGCTTTTTAGGGGTTCAGTGGAATAAAAAATGTGAAGGGGGTTATGTGCTAAAACTAGTTAAGGGGGCTTTGTGGAATTAAATTAGTTATGGGTCTATCTCAAAAAAGGCTAATATAGGGGGGCAGGGTATGAAATTTACCCTAAAAAATTAGAGTAAATTAAGAAAACATGCCTAGAGGATTTTTTTATTCCACTAACGCTCTTGAACTTTAGGGGCCATTACGTATAAATCCCCAAAAAGTTTTTATTCCAATAAATCTCAAAATTAGCGCCATCAATTCCAACGTGTCATGTG